TTTTCCCCCCCCCCCCCCCCCGCCACACACACACGCACACACACACATAAACACACACTATAACGTAGAGAAACTGCATTAATGGGTTTGAGTCCTACAAGTAAAAGTCCAGGCAAATCTTTATTACAGTTTGATAAAAATTCCCTGCAGGAAGTAGACAGCATGCAAACAATATTGATGCAAAATCCATATCTTCAATCAAGTGCAAAGCCCTTACTGAACCTTCAACGGTAGCTCCTTAGACTCTAAAAGTTTTCGAGAAAAGTGACTGACAGCATTCACTTGGGGTCAAGTCGAAATGAATACACCTGCAGCTTCTATCATGATGGTTAACCGAATCTTCCTGGCTTGGTTGGAATGCTGTTTTTAAGCTTAAAGCCAGGAGATGGACTGAGAGATTCTTTTTACATTTTTGCAGTTCACACAAAGGTCACAAGCTGGTACTGGCCTCTGGACGCCATCTGGGCCCAGCCCTGTTCTCTGGCCTGCGCAGGGCTCGGAACATTTGGAATTGCTTGTCAATATCTGAAGGACTGCAAACTTCCCGTAAAGGGCGGATGTCCCGGTTTTCTAGGCCTGCAGTCTCCCTGCCATTTTTTACCGGGAACCCCACCACTCAGTCCTGGCAAGTCCTCCTGGCCCCTACAGACATGTGACCTTGAGACCCTGGTTTATTTGTCATCTTTTCACATTTGCTCAGATCTTAATCTATTACTTCTCTCTTACCAGCTGCATATACAATGTATGTGACTGTGTTAGAATTAATACTGAAAAATCAGTGTTATAGAGAACACATTTTTGGTTGCCAAGGGGGAGGCGGGTGGGAGGGGTGGATTAGAAACTTGGGATTAGCAGATGCAAACTATTATATACAGGATAGATAAACAACAAGGTCCTACTGCAGAGCACAGGGAACTATATACAATACCCTGTGATAAACCATAATGGAAAAGAATGTGAGAAGAAATGTATGTATGTGTGTAACTAAATCACTTTGCTGTATAGCAGAAATCAACACGACATTGTAAATCAACTATACCTCAATAAAAAATAGATTATAAAAGAGAAAGAAAAACCAATGTTAACTCCTCCAAAGTAGCCACTTGCTCCAAGAATCTATCATCCTTAAAATAAAAATGTAAATCGCATGGCCTGGAACCAACCCTCTGGAGGAGCTATTTCCATCACATGGTATTTGTCTTGGAAACACTTCAGGAGGAGCAGAACTTCCTCCCAAAGGCAAGGACATATGATAAAAGAGCGAGCCCTGGACTAAAAGTCAGAACACTGAAGTTCTAATGTCAGTCCCTCCACCCAGTGGCTATGTGGTCTTGAGCAAGTACTCGACCTCCAAGGGTCTCAGTTTCTGCCTTCACTGAAATGGAGAAGACAGTCCCGCTCTTGCCAACTCGAGCTGTTGCCAGGTGAACCAAATAAGCAACACGGAAGATGTCCCGCAGAGTGACGCAAACATCTGATGCCACTCTTTGATTTCCTAAAATTATCTAAAGTCACATCTGATCAATGATACGTGCTTATTTTTTTCTCTCTTTTTTTTTTTTTTTTTGAAACAAGGGATGCTATCTTCCGAGGCAATTCCAACAGAAAGGTTCTAAAATATTGAGCAACGGAGCTCCTTAAGATTAAGAGCAAAATTCCTACGATGTTAACTCTGAGGAGGAGGTGAGGGCATTTGAGAAGATCATCACCGTGAAGCTGGACACACCCGCTGTCTCCTAAAGGCCCTTGTGCACCAGGCACACCACCTCCTTTCTGCTCTTTGAACACGCCAGCTCGTTTCTACCTCAGGGCCTTTGCACTTGTTGATCTCTCTGTGGACAATGCTTTTCCCTGCTTCTTAGTATGGCTGTCTCTTCTCAGACTTCAGGTCTTGGGGTAAATGCTGCAGCCCCTCTAAAGAAGTCCCTTTGTCATCATCCTCCCAAAACCGACAACAGCTCTGCTTCACCATTCTCTACTGCAAACACTTTCTTTTCAACCTGACATGGGCCAAATTTGAAATTAAATATATGTGTGTAATTACTGACTGTGACTCTCCTTTCGACTATAAGCTGTAGGAGGGCAGAAACAAGCCTGTCTAGTAGCCCCAGTGTACCTCCATCACCTAGCACAGTGCTTGGCATAAAGTAGATGCTCAACTAACATTTTCCAAATAAACAAATGCATCAATGAATGGATGGAGAGATGGAAACCTCAATTCCTTACTAGACAGGTGACCCTGGACATATCACTAACCCTCCAGGATCCTGTGTCTTAGCTGCACATGGGTGTAAGATACTCTCAGGTGGCTGCTTTGCGGACTAAAGGAGACCATGTATGTTAAGTTCCTAGTGCAAAACCTGGAACACAGCAGATCCTCAAGAAATGGTAGCTTTTATAAAGATACTCAATGAGTATGTCCAGTCTCCCTTGTATGGAACAAATCTGGCACTTTACTAGAGGTATGTTAAATGTTTGTTTATATAAAGAAGGAGAGACAAGATTGCATGTTTCAAATAAATTTGCAGAGCTCTGATTTAAGCAAGACTAAACAGATTTTTTACTACAGGACATCTCAGAGTCTGAAAAATACTGATTTGCTTTCTGAACCTCCTAAAGGAGAATTTAACATGTAGCATTTTGCCCCAAACTTATTGGAGCATAGTACTTTTCTGGAGGAAGGTGATATCGACCAGGGTTAGGACAATACAGAAGACAACTGGAAAAAGATGACTCTGGTTATTTTATACAATGAATTCTTAAAAGAATCCTGTGAATACGGTGCTCAGCACACTGTTGAATGCTTCTGTTTCATGAATTCCTTCCCAGTTTTCATGATAAACCTCACAAGTTGATTCTATATATACCTAAACATCGAAGAGAATTTAGTTTTGAAAACTGGCAAATGGGGTGGGAGAAGCAGTGAGGGTGGGTTGAATACGTCTTATTGTAGGTGGGTGTGTCCGAACCAGCACCTTCCTCTCCATCAGAAACGGCAATAATAAGGTGGTAATTCCAAAACCAACCAGCAGGTGGCTCTCTAGGACTAAATTTGGAGAAGAAAATTTTCTCAGACCAGTTGGATAAATTCCCTCATAAGGGTCTGATTTCCAAGAATAACCACCAGATCTGTCAGAAGACGTCGGCTTGAAATACATTAGGGTAGGTGAATTGGCCAGAGGAATTACAACTCACGGATATCGGCAAAACAAGAAGAAAGTACGTGCTGTGTAATCTCATCCTATGGCACACAGGGTCATGATGTTATTAGTTTTTCTCAATTTCATTTTTTTTCTGGGGGTGGGCAGAAGGGAAGGAGAGCAGGTGGTATAGGTGGAATAGATGAACTTACCCCATTTATTTGTTGTGTAAATGACCACCCGTGATAATAAGCAAGATAATTTTAGGTAGTCTGTGAACATTTTTTTTAATCTATCAAATTTACTGGTAAGTTGAGCCCCCAAACTGCATACACAGCACGTATTAGCACTGTATCTTAATGAATGTTGGCGACTAAAAAGCAATCCACAAGGTAAAATAAATATGGACAAATCTACACAGAACACGCTGGTGAGGAAATATCTCAGTAAACATTGGTACAAATTAAATATCAAAATAAAATACATTTACATTAATTCCTACACAGGTAACAAAAGTATGTAAAAACAAATAATTTGATGAAATAACTGGTACCAAAAAATGTATATAAATGAAGCAAAAAAAAAAAATGAAGCAATTACAATGCCATTCTCATGCACAGAAATATTCCAAGATAATAGGATATTTCAGTGAGTATCAGCAAGCAGTTAAAACAGGAATAATATAAGAATTCTATTGGAAATTTCTGTTCAGTGAAGGTCATACTATATAACAAAGAGCAAACAATAACAGTTTTAATTATCATCTTCAAAACCTAGAACACAATCATCTTCAAAACCCTATAAAATTATCAATCACAAAGTCTGATAATCCGTCGTCTCTGAGGGAATTCTGTGGCATTTTTTTCTCATCACTGGTTATTTATTTCATTAGAAACTAAGCTATCACTATCTTCAAATGACTGTTTTGTAAGTATTACTACTGTGCTCATTTGGAAAATCCATACCAATAAATTTGAACTTAAGTTTACAGTAATGCAGGCAGAACCTTGTTTTATTGTGTTTCACTTTATTATGCTTTGCAGATACTGCATATTTTTAATTGAAGATTTGTGGCACCCCTACATCAAGTAAGTCCGTTGGCACCATTTTTCCTAACCGCATTTGCTCACTTCGTGTCACATTTTGGTAATTCTCACGATATTTCCAACTTGTACATTATTATTATATGTGTCATGGTGACCTGTGATCCTGATGTTACTACTACGACCTGCTGAAGGCTCAGATGACGGTTAGCATGCTTTAGCAATAAAGTATTTTTAAGTTAAGGTATGTACATCTTTTTTAGACACAATGCTATTTATTGCACACTTAATCGACTACAGTATAGTGTAAACGTAACTTTTGTGTCCACTGGGAAACCAAAAACTTTGTGTGACTTGCCTTATCGCAATATTCGCCTTTTTGAGGTGGTCTGGAATCGAACCCCGAATGTCTCCAAGGTCTGCCTGAATCTTTTGAGTGTCGAATTATAAAAATAATAGACAACAAGCCTAAAGATAAAGATTTACCAAATAAACCCAAATCCAATTCTGATGAGTCGTTTGGCGGGTGGCTTTTGCTCTTTTTGACAAAAACAACAGAAACTTCTCAAAGAACATGATTTTTTTCCTTTGTGGTGAGGTTTTGTGTTGCTCTGCTCCACTTGTAAACATAACATTATCACTACTGTTATTTTGGAATTAGTGGGTCACTCGTCTTTGATGATCATCCCAGACCTGTCAGCTACGTATGGTTTTCCAACCATAATATGGGCTTTTTGCATGCACGTAAATCTCTGTTTTTTGTCATTGTGGTTTAAAAAAACTACGTCTGTATGCTGGAAAACAGAGTTGTTTTCTTCGTAGCAAACAGATGTAGACATTGTCAGAGGTAGTTGTATAAACCCAAGGAGCATACAAACCGCATGCTAACAGTATCTAAAACATCTGCTTTAAACTTAAGAAGATTTTTTAAAATATTAAAGGGTCTGATAAGACCCTTAGCCTTAAATCATTTCTGATGAATGCCTACTCGTTTTTGGTTAAATAGAGTTAGATTAGTTAAAGTAAGGATTGTAAAGGATTGAGCGTCTTCTTCATATGACATTTTCTCTGTCCAGATTGTCCTGAGGATTTTTAAACTCTGGGATATTTGCTAATAAATTCTGAAACTGCAACACATACTAAATATTCATGACATCCTCACTCTCATCTTTCCAAACATGGTATTCTGGGGAAATCCAGTGATTCATCAACTTTGATACAAGCTTGACTATTCTCAAATTACCAGGCTCTCTCTCAGGAATTCAAGCAATTTATCCATTTTCTCTTTACGAAGCCTACATCACTTTGGTTCTCAACTTTCTTTTGCATTCCAGACACACAGAATCTGAAAAGACATACCTTTTTTGTAAAGATTATTTGGGTTTGTGTAGACAGTCAAGTTACAAAACAACTCCATAGCTTTCTGTGAGTATATGTTCATAACACATGCTTCTTTTAAACCTTCAGTAATTACTATTGGTATTTGTACAGTTGATCTTATTGTGTATTAGAAAAAATATAGGTAATCGGTATAGCAGTATAAAGACAGTAAAATATACTTTTAAAAAGAAATATATTTAAATAGAAGAGACGGAAGAAAATTGAATAATGGTACAAGCGATATGTAAATGACAAAAACTGTGATGATATAAGTCAAATGTTGCGAAAATTTCTGAATTTGTTCTGACATGAAACCAATGGCATTTGTAACAACCTGATCTAACCCAACCCTCCCTCTCTGTGTAGATGTGTCTTGGAAGGTAAGCTTATTTATCAATTATCAAGGCAGTCACTTGTCACTCCTACAGGCACTCAGGACATAATTTTTGAGCATCTACACTATGCCATGCTCCCCACAAGTGAACAGAGCCTACAGTCATAAAGCCTAGAATGTTAGGACCTTCACTGCCCTCTTAACATTATACGGCCGTTCAACAAATATTCATGGACTCCATGCAAGGCACTGGGGGATAAAATAACGAGGAAAAAACAAAGACACAGGTCTCCTGCCCTCCTTGGTGTTACTGCTTCTTGGAAGAGCTAGTCCTGAGTCAACTGGCCACACAATTAAATATGAAATGAAAACTGTGGTGGGGCTGTAAAAGAGGGTGCCCTCGTCTGCATCTTAGGGGTACACACGACCGGAGATTCCACACCAGTATGACAAAGTCTGGGGGACCTGCCTTGGAGACAGGGAGGGCCCTGGAGGTAAGACCTAGAGATGACGAAGAGTCACCTCGGACAGGGGAAAGGCACAGAATTCCAGGGAGAACGACCAGGAAAAGCTCTCTGGGGGACAGATGATCAGCAGAAAGGGCCGGAGGGAAGGCTGGGTGACCAGGGCACAGAGAGCAGGTATTTATGGCCGGGGCCATTGCTTCCTTGTGGTCATTCATTCGTTCTTGCATTCATTCATTTAGCAAGTTTCTGCAGACGAACCAGGTTCCACCCCGTAGATGTTCGTCCATGTTTGGGGATCTTTGCGCCTCATCAGTGAAAAGGTCTCCAGCAAGAACCCCCTACACAGGCCTATTCATTTATTTATACATTACATATACACAAGGTATCCTTATATATAAAACATATAAAGATGCATTTGAAAGGATAAGAAAATGTTTTAACATTTTTCTAATTGTTCCCCTTGTCCCTCCATGGGCCATTCTGTACCCTGCTCCAGAGATCACTGTTCTGGAAAAGGGGCCTCTTAGGATTGGCTTAGAGTCACAGCAGAACCAGAGCCCAGGACTCCCTGTCCCCCAGGCCAGTCCCCTCCCAGGAGAGCGTGGGTCCCAAGCTTGAGAGTCATGAGCATCACCGGGGGGCTTGGTAACACATTCGGGGCCGGGCCCCACCCTCCGAGGTCCTGGGGGGGCCCGAACGTCCGTACCGCCAGCGG